TATATATATATATATATATATATATATATAAACGTGCCATGTATGAACTTCGCCAAAAGATTGCTATTTTTTAGTTATGGTTTGAAAAAGAAGCAAGTAGCACAGTGAGCGACTTTCCATCCGAAAAAACTACAAAACTTGTTTATCTTATCGATATTGGTGAGTAGGGGAGGACTCTGAAGTTCAAGAATTTTAATCTGAGAAATACACTTAGCAGAAGTTCTCGATACAGTCTTACTCGTCATTCCTTTCAATAAACTTGCTTTTGTGAAAAAAATGTAATAAGCCTTGAAGAGAATATGTTGCAGAAAGAGCGGTGAACTTTCCCTACGACGGTATATGTATTGAGTATAAAGTCGACCTCCCCTTGCAGTGTGCACTAATTGATTTATCTTCAGTGCACAGATGGTCAACAATTATTGATTCAAGTCCACAAGGAAAGGTGTTTTTTATCACCAGTGCATTCCAGGCTCTTATAGAGCGTCTGTCTATAACTATCACGTAATCTTCGAAAATATTCGCTTAATTTCAGGATGATGTAGCCATATTTTCACAGCCAGTTTGTGTCACATTGACTATCAATGAGGAGAGGCAATTTTTCGAAAATTTTCATTGGCCCAGAATGATTTTCCGACTATGCGGAGAAGATTACTGGGGACGCTTCTTCGTAAATGGCTTTGGTCAATTAACGCTGCCTCCTCGTCCCGGAAGGTCATTTTTTGTTTTGTCACCTTTTGATAAATACCATGTGTCAACTACCGTACAACCCAGCCCTGAAAATGTGATAGAGAAGTCAGAACTAACTACTCTTTGATCCCCAGTTTCTGGACAAACTTTTAAATCGGAATCTTCTAGCTACTATTTCAGGTATCAATTTGACATCAAATGTTGGCGATATCAGCGCAAACACGACAGGAAAAGCATGTTGTTCGAAAACTTCATCTCCGAAATGGCCGATTTCGAGCAAGCAGAATTAAATTTAGCGAGTGAATCTACGATGTGCAAAGAAGTAAGACCATCATCTGTTATCATTTACTTGACTAGAGTAAAAGCAAGCGGAAATAATAGGCGAAAGGATCCGTCCGTGCAAGGCTAAAAAATTCACCTATACTAGTAAAAACTCAACGAGATATATCAGTTTTAAGAAGCAAAGATTAACTTGAATTTAAAGGTGCTAAATATAGTCAAGTAATAAAATTTCAGGGTCCAATAGCATCTAGCATAGGACTTGATAAAACAAGTTCTGGAACTCTTAAAATTAATGTACAATGTATCATGCAAAGTCGAAAATTCATATCTCACGAATTCTTTTACAAAATGAAGTATGCCACCTTGATGCATCATGATGGGTAAGCACTTTGCTTAATATTACGTCATGTAACTAGTCATTGATTAAGCACTTAATTTTTTCGACAAGAAACACCTGCAGTAGAAGAAATGGCAAAGTGAGGAAAAAATTATTTCAGAATGCAATCACGAATTCACTGGAATATCCTTAAAGTACTATCAAAGTTTGAGGAAGCGAGGAGAAATCTTCTCAAGATTCGGAATCAGTCCCTACCTACTGTAAAATTTCGTGGCTTATTCTTACTTGAATAATAAAATCGTAATCTGAAGAAATATCCCTAATTTTAAAACACATTCAAATATCATACCCGAGATAATGAGAAAATATAAAACAATACTTGACATAAGAATGCGGAAATGAAATATTTTGTCAGAAAAAAACATTAAAAACCGCAATTTAAGCAGAAAGTTTAGAGATCATTTGTAAGAACAATAAGTTTAAACAACAAACGGGCGAGTAACAAACTACAACCGTATATTTGGCTGGGAAACTGTCGCAGTTATGAAAAATATCTTATTTCGTAAATTTAAAAGTTTTTCCGGATATGCCTTACTCATACAAAACTAGTCAGGAAAACAAATTTCACGAGTGACCGATGCGCATCAGAACTTCTGAAAAATGCTCCCTTGCCAGCTGCGGTGATACCTCTTACACAATAGCCATCTCACTCTGTATCCAAGAGAACTTACTGATACATGTTTTACTCTCTGCTTCCACAGAGGTGCTTTTGATACATGTTTTACTCTCTGCTTCCACAGAGGTGCTTTTGATGCAAGATTTCCTAGTCATCAAACAAAGGGACTATTGGCTTTGAGAATACTGATCTAGAATCGAGACTCCGCGAAATTCCAAAGTTTCTTATGCATCCCAACTGTCCGACCCAAATCCATGCTCTGAAATTTTATAGAATGTTCACCAAACTCGCCACAACTTACCTGTATGTCAGAAACATTACTTTGCAGCTTAACACCCTTCTTATAATTTAATTCTTCACAAAGTACGGAGTCCCGCACTAAGTTATTTAATCAGCAGCTTTCTTCATTGATAACCATAAAGTTAATGCATCCCAAACTATGATCACAAATCTACATGAGTTATTAGGTTGTAAGAATAAACTTTCCATCAAGGAGTCTATCCTCAAAATGTCAAGTAAAACCACCATAGTATTGACGGATTTGTATTTCATAGACAACAATGAGAATAATAACCGGAGACATATTTTATACGATAAAATAATTCTGCTGAGCGAGCTTAAAAGTCAAACAAACAGGTAAGGAACGAACAGTGTGCACACAAATTTTTTTCATAAAAATAAGCATCAGCGATAATGATACAAAGCAATAATTTCAATTGAAAGTATAAACTATCTCATATTCACCAATTCAGCATTTTATACTAGCCAAAAAAAAAATACTGAACATCAAAAGCTTGAAGCAATCATGGAAATTTCTAGCAGGTATATGAAATTTCAAAAATGTACACATTCAAAAAAAATTAAGACATTATTTAACGAGCGTATGAGTAGAATTACAAAATACGCCACGTTTTTGCTCTTTAAATAGCATCAATCCGCTTACTTATTTAATCTAAAGCACAAGCATGCCTGTAATATCTCGAAACTAAAGTGATTTGAAAAGAAAGCAAAGTAAATTTAGAAAGTAATCTGAAGCAAAAGTAAATGGATATATATTAATCAGTTCGAAACGGATTAATTTTATGGCTGAAAATAACACAATTAGTGACCATTCTAATTATTACGATTAGTTGACTCAAATCAAATTGACCGAAAATTTTTAGAACTTTTTCAGGAAACTATGAAAAGGTTAAATTATGAAGTTAAATTTGTGATATGGTTTTAAAGCAATAAATAACAAACCAAAAGAAAAATTTAGAAAATTATTTGAGACGAAAATGAAGTGAAAAATTTTGTTGTAGTCATGAAATACTAAATTTTTAGTTCCGGTCATGGATGAGTTTACAGAATTACATTTAAATAAATCGTTCGCTTCAAGAAAAAAGTACATGAAGAACTTTCATTGGCAACTGTTATAATTTTGCACATGGATAACTGGCTTCAATGTACATATTACATATTCGTATAATATTTGATTAGCAACCAGAAAAGACCAATCGAGCGCCCCAAATTAATCAGCTTTGACTTTATCTCGAGTCCATTTGATAAGGTTTTCAGGTGATCGAAACAGAAAGATCAATCTGCCATATAAATCCTTAAAAATACCACAGAGAATAACTGCAATATAGGATTTTATAACAGTTCGAAATTTGTTAATTTAAGTAATAACACCCATAAGTAAAATAAACAGTACCTGTTCCAAGACAAAATCCTTAGCTTCGCGAACCAAATATATATCAAGACATATTTTAAGTAAATGATCCGGATTGGGGATTTCAGAAATCATAACTCCCAAACCAGCATTCATCACAAGACCCCGTATCATACGTCCCACTAACATGACTACAGCTAGGTACATTGCGATAATACTGAAAAAGGAGTAAATTTAAGAGGTTTCAGCGGTATATTAGCTGAGAATAAAAATGCTTAAATGCGCGGAAAAATAGAAAATGTTAATCACTTGGTGGAACGCAACTTCAGTAGGAACAAAACAAGCCAATTATGCATTGCTATCTTAAAAGATAAAATTCAAACTGCGTACCCTCCTTGGACATATTTGCTAACAAATGATGGAAAAACACGGTCTACGAATATAACCATTTGTAGATACTTTTTCGGGCTAATTTCATATTTGATATGTTCGAGTGGTAGCGTAAGCGCAGCAGTATCATTGTCTTGAATCAATGCTGCGCTCCATATCTTATTTTCCTAAAACAAACACATGATCTTTAACATTCTCCAAACTCTCGTGCTCTCTTTAATCTGACGTTATTCGATTACATTCAAGATTTTTAAAACATCAACGAATGATTTTGATGAATGAAGCACTAACCGTAGTGTGAGCAGATTTTAGTTTCATGGATATGTTGGAAAATGCTTTCCAAAACATAAGATTTGACCCACTAATCACATGAAGCAAAGAAGAAGCCGGCTTCACATTTCCTTCATTGGGCATAATTACATATGGTGGCCATGCATTTGCCAATAACATCTATAAATTTGCATAAAAACATAATTATGAAATTCTAAAAATATGAAAGGGAGAAATTAAGTGTAAAGCAATGTACGCTTTCGTTTATGAGTTCCATAAAAGAGTTGTTAAAACTTACACTACCATTGTATTGACCATCTATAATTTCGGCCAATTCAGTTCGTACAGTAGAATTTACTGTTAGTGGAATGGTTAATGTATAGAGATGTTGTGTGGGATAATCAGCATGTTTACTGTTAGGGCGTTCACACGTAATCCTTGAAAAAACATTACTTTTGTAATAGACTATAAATATACATGGCTAATTTCTTCCGAAAGTATTCGTATTATGTAAAAATCAATGCAAATACTTCGCAGAAAAATATGTTTCGAATTCAAATCTCTAAAGCGGATCCAGAAAAAATCCAGATTGCAAAAAGAAAAGTTAACAAATTAATCTGAAAAACTTGCCATTTAGTTTCCCATTTCTTAATGCATAGAAAATTTCGAATTATTCCCTCACTAATTATTGAATTTATTGAGATGGATCCGGCAAATTAATTAAATACAACTCAAGATTACAGAATTCCCAGAACAAGACAAAGTTCACAAGAGATTACTTGATGACAGCATTTAGTCTTTTTGTTCCTTCTTTGAGTTCATATTTCATAGCAACCAATGCATCGCTTGAAATGAGCCATGGTACGTGTGATTCAGGGCGGAAACGCACTTTCTAAAAGCATATTGCTTGATGAGAAATTCCCAAGATTAAAAAGTCACGAAAAATATGATACTTCTGGTTATTTTCAAGTTAAGCATAATGAAACTTAAAAAATGCAGTTTTATACAAAAGTCACCTAAGACACTGAAAGTATTTCTTGTCTGCACATCACACAGATAATTCCGTCGGGAGAGGACGAATCTTATTTTTTTTTCTAGTATTTATTGCTCAGCAGATTTTTTCAAACTCAGGCTGCATAACAATCAGTTTCAATAAAAGTTTACTAAGGCAAATAAAAAATCACTAACAGAATGTATTTTAATGATGAAATTACGCTGCTTTGTGTATATCTTGGAAACATTCATATGCAACCTTGAATATAGTTATTTGCCTTACTGTTTATAACATATTCTTATGCAGATCAGCTACAACATTCACCACGGTAAAGAACGTATTCAGGGAGATGTAATTCTGAAGCTGAGAATGAGCTGGAAACACATCCTTTCTCTGTATTTTCAGAGCAACGAAATTTCAATTCTGTCGTATTCTGGTACTGTAACAAGTAAAAAAAAAGAAAACTAGTCGAACAAGTCAACAGTCGAAATTTTACGAAATTTTTCTAATGGACTTGGCAGGAGGGAGACTAAAAGTTTCATAAAATTCTGGTAAAAAAAGTTGCAAAAAATTTCCAATGTCATGGATACAATGCCTATAAAATACAACATTCTTACAAACTGTTTACGTGACAAATGTATATTATAGAACAAGATGGTTGTACAATGCTGATCATCTTTTCTAGTAATGATAAATACCACTTGTAAGACCACTAATATTTCAACTAAACTGCTATATGGTACGCAATAATGGCATAGCACAATGCAACATATTTATGCTGAGGCAGCACAAATTCATCATTTTTTCTTTTTTTTTTTTATTTTTGAGTCTTACCATCAAGAAGTCAGCAAATTTCTTGATAATCGTTAAAGGAATGAAAAAAAAAGAAAAGGAAAAAAACAGGAAAAGTGGGAAAAGTTATAGGAAAAAATTATACCAGTGCATTACATTAATCCTTTCTGTGTAGATTTTCTCAAAGATATCGCAACTAAAAGTTTTTAAGGGTTATGTGAGGTTCTAAAGAACTATCATTAAAAGAACAAATACTTGCTCAAAAGTCTTAGTAAAAGTTGGACAAAGATATCTGCTGAGTTACTGTATGATGAATACCTTCACTCGTTTTCAGCAAGAAATATAAGCAAGGAAATGAGATGTTCTCTCTAAGAGGTGCTGAAAAGTACAACCAATGCATCAGCATTCTAAACTTCTTTGTATACGTCCTGAAATTCAACAAAACATAGAAGATGGGAACACTACCCTGACGAAAAACTCATTCTTGCATCATGATAACATAGTCACTTATATCACTTGCTGGAAATACATACCACTTTTAAATGGACCACTTTTTTTTGATTTCATAATATTGCGTGTTACAGTGATAAAAAGTTTTTTCCTTGATGCCTTATTTCATAAACACTCATGTGGACCATTTCTAGTCTAATAAAGGTTATTTTCGATCAAAACTAGCATTATAAGGTGTATATACTTTAAGGCCCTGGAGCTAGGATAAGTTTTTTTTTTCTGCGGTCTCCCTTACTGGTCATAAGCGATCACGAAAGCAAAGCATCTGTTTTAGAAGATTGCAAAAGTGAGACTAGAATACTGTAAATGCCTACACATGCTGTATGTTGTGGAACTGGTGCAACTGAGGTGATATATTATTAATGATTTCTTCTTGTTTTCCTGCGAACGTTTTTATGGATTTATGAAACAAATGCATTCTTTATAATGCTATCAATATGTAAAAAGCACTGAATAAACATCTCGTTACATGTGACCGTATTTACGAAATACAGCAGCATCGTTAAAGAAACTTCAGTTTCAAGAAAGCATCATACGCAGAAGAAGCAAACTGAATCCAAATTAAATACAGCTTACCATAATGCTCTCCCGATTATATTCCCTGACAAATGCAACAGCATGACGAGCCCTTAGTATCGACTCTGTATCCGAGGAAGTAAAGTGTTCAGAGAAGGCATTTTCTAGTTTGAGATATTCAGCATCAGTCAGGAATTCCAATTCCATACCCTGAGATTCGATGGCAAACATGGGCTAAAATTAAAAGTTTTTTAGCGTTATACGAATCAAATAACTCCTCCTAAGCTAATGCTCAATCTTAATTCACAGTTCACCATGTGTTAAACTATTCAAATCCCTTAACAGTGGAGGTAATAATTCGTAGAGATTGTTTATCACTCTTAATTCTTTCTTAAAAAACATATTCTTGAATTAAATTCCCGTATTCCTCTATAATAGTTACAATAAAGTCTTACGGGATAGCCTTCAAGCCCAATGGTCAATATAACATTATTTGGTGGCAACACAATACCAATCCTATTCAGCAGCGAAAATGAAAGTAATGGCAGCCAAATAAAAAGAATAAGACCCAATATTACTGGTACGCCCATTAAGTATTTGATTACAACACCTTTGGCCACACCTCTTGGAGTCGGAAATTTCTGGAAATTTGAAATTTCTGAATATTTGGCAAACTAAATAAACGAAGGAATGACATAAAAAGTGCTATTAAGAAAAAAATAAAATGTTAAATTACGTAAAAGAGAAAATAATATAAGACCCAATATGCGGATATTATATAATGTTAATAACTTGCCTTCTCATAAGTTCTAGCACATTTCAGATTGTAAATAACTGCATAAAAGTTTTCCATGTTAAAAAAGTCAAAGAGCGGCATAGAAGTGTCAACCCAAGTCCAATCAGTGACCGTCCGTAATTCGAACAAGAATGGAATGGCCATAAACCTGGAAACGATATTTTATAGCGACCACAAGAAAATTTCCTAAGGCCTCGCCTACATATGATTCCTACATTTTACCACTGTAGAAAACAGTAACCTTTGAGTAATGTAGAAGGATGATATGACTTATTCCCGGAAGTTTTGGGCAAGCCAAACTGACAGACGTTTGATCATTTGACACTAAAAGATTCAAATCACCCAGTAACCCAACAAGTGGTTGAATTCAAAAAAGCTAGCAGTGACAGTTTCTGTCTTACCACTGAATATAGTCACAAAACCACAGATAAATGGGCTATTTGAATGGTTTCTCATCAGCTTGATTGCAAAAATAACTTACAATTTGAAGAATATCATATTCGCGATGCCGTAGGCGTGTGTTATAAGATTGCCCGCACACAAAGTTGGATATCCATTACGGATTTGCCAGGCGGAAATTAGAAGATATATGCATTTAATGAAATACAGAAATTGTGCAGTTTTGTTCAGCCAAGAAGGCCTGGAAATTTTTAATTGGAATCTACACATTAATATTTCAATAAGGATTACGAAATCTGAGGTGAATCATACAGTTAATGTGACATCAGCTAATAAAATTGGAAGCTACCAAACTGGCAATGTTTAATCAACTGACTTGTAAGTTAACTGCGGTAGAATGAAGAAAATCCAAACATGGAGGAAAATAACAATGATTAATTGATAAAGAAATTTGCATTTTACGGCTTTTTGAAGATAGAAGGCCCGGTCAATGATAATCATCAGTGATATTACAATAAGCATTATTACAAACGTTATTGGGACGCGATTCGACTGAAAGGTATGTTTAAATCAAATAAATAACAGTTCAATTGTAAATCTACCAAAATTCCGCATGTACCGAAAAAATCGAAAATCCAAAAGTTTTCGAAAATATTACACTGATATCTCGTACAACGCTTCCAGTACCACCGTAGTCAAATGATGAAAAGCCAAAAGATACTACGAAGAAACACAATACATCCATCAAGAACATGAACGGATACAAATCTTTTATGTATCGAACTGGTGGATCGAAAAGCATATTGAAAAAATGCTTGATGCGTTTAACGTATATTGGAGCTGTAACTTTCAAATTGAGGTAAGAGTAAATGAATATTTTTGGAAATTGAAATTCATCCACTTCTTCAATTCAGAGAAAAAGAAAATAATGGGACTTACTTTTTTTGTCATTGATCCAGTGTTCAAATTAGCCTAAAATTAGTTTAAAATGTTGATAAGAATATGATGAGAAACTGTTTTGTGTTTGATATTTATGTTTTTATTTTTCTCACAGAAACAACAAAACTAAATCCCACGTTCCATAAAGGAAAAACATACATCGGTTTGAGATGTACCCGACAAATTCGTATTGGTAGTATTGCTTATTTGTACCGGCGGAATAGATGCTGTAAACATAACATCCGTCCCTTTCCATAAACCCAACCTTCGAAGCATATATCGATGGAAAAAGAGAGCTGAAAATAGTAAAATTTTAATCGAAATGTTCTGTTGATTTAAAAAAAAAATCTCTGGATTTAAAGTGTACCAACGAGTAAGGCGATATCCCAAAAAGCATAATAATCCGTCTTCCGAATGCCCAAAATTCCAGGTAGGTAATCAACAGAATTAGCAGCTCTGATAATATTCGCTGTGCTGTTAAATGAAAAGAAGCCAAACTGCGCGATAAATTTAATTATTACTATCAATTCTGTATAAGTTATCATTACAATCTGAAAATTACAATTAAAAGCCTATTTTGTTGAATTTTCAGTTTTTATTGAATTAAGTATCAACATGGGCAGGCGGTCATAGATGTGAAGAAATCGGATGTACCTGGAAAAACAAAATCAAGAAAAAACTACCCAAAATATTTTTGTCGGACGAGGATTTGCTAAGGAACCCCAGAAGAAAATGAGAAGAGGTAGTGGTAATGAAATGATCCCAGCACATCGAGCATGGTTGATTATAGCCAGAAGGTAACAAATGACATCGGTATGAGCAGCAATGCAATATCCAATTGCACTTAGGAAGCGCAAAAACACATTGCACTGTTGCCAGTGATTCTCGACTTCATCTTCCAATCTTGAAATAAAAGTACTTTCACGATGTGAAGCAGTTGAAAGCTTAAGTGTAATGCGTACCTGCTGACAGTCTACCCTCTCAGTATAAAAAAAACTTTACTACGTACCGCAATATGTACCAGGGCGCAACGGAATGAAAGTCAAGGCTGAACATCTCAAATCATATCATGCTATGCCAAATCACAGCGTACAACAACTGAAGGTGTAGTCGTATACAACAAAAGCAAATCAAGTAACTTGCATGTTACTCTAGCAGTACTTATCGCTTGAACTGTACTAGCTAAAAACCGACTAAAATTACTGTTTTTAAAATTTTTTGTCTGACTGATTTAAATGAAGGGAGTTAAAAAAAAGGCTGGATTTAAAGTCGTATACAATATCATCGGTTAAGCAATCCTCGGAATAACTTCGTAAATGGAAAAATTTCAACCAAAAATCAAAATGACCGTTCAATGTCTCTTTCGCTCGTAACACAACGTAAATTTTGTTGATTAAACTCTTGTCGAACGTCAAGTACTGATCTGGAAGCATCCACCAATGGCTGAAATGAACTCATGAAATTCACGATAAAAACCGGAACTTCTGCAAAAACCAATCAAAAATAATAGAAGCTGGTGAAAATTTCCACCAAGCAATTCATGCAGCCCAGTGAAATCTTTGCTTTTTCCCCATTAGTGAACCCCTGATAATGATATATACTTATGATGAAAAACCGAAGTTTGGAAACCTCAGCTGTTCAAGCCAAAATCTCTTGA